TCAGGAATATTCTTATTGACTATTTGGAAGTGTTCAAAATAAATATATTTTTAATCTCATCATTGAATATGATCTATTAAACTAATAGTTATAGTTTTGGATACGGGCTTCAGTGGTATATGACCAAAATACCAGACGTTATAATGAAGATTGCTTTACTTTTAATAATGGGGATGAAGAAAAGCAGTAAAAACATTAAACAGTCACATAAAAGAAATAAAACACAAGACCAAGCAACAACAATAAAATGTACTGATATTTTCCTATGAAACATTGCCAAAAGCCACAATTGGGAGGTAAACAACATCAACAAAACCATTAAATAAGTGATACATTGAAGTATGTACCAGAGTTAGGAGATTGTTTCTTACTAGAAGATTAGGTAGTGCTAGCAGTTCAACCAAAAACCCTACGTTCTTAATCTGTTGCTTGTATCTGACAGAAAGCAAAAGAGCCTATTATTTCTTTACAAATATGGCTCATTAGTAGTTAAGTACCATGTAAAACCTACCTTAAAAGACAACTATTCTCACTTCATACATACCTTTTTCATATACCACATCTCTTCCTTCTTCTCTTTATAAAATTACTGACTAGATATAAATCTGAAATTGAATCTAATCAAATTTAAAAATAAGTTAATAAGCTTTGCTGTATATGCAAATATTAATTTGATATTATATGCACATAAATGTTTATACATATATATGAAACAATATGTACAGTGCAGAATTGTTCAGAGAGCCCACATATGTCCATGATTACATGTGCATTTAAGGTTTTTCTCTTGCTAAAAATAGACATAGAATTTACCATTTTAACCATATTTAAATGTACAGTTCAGTGACATTAAAGTAAATTCACACTGCTGTAAAAGCACTTAGCTTTTGGTAGATCTAGTTATATGAATAATGAGAAAAGGAATAATAAGTTTATGATGTTGGGACTTTCAGAGGGGCCCTAGCATTTTTCTTTTTCTTTGTTTTTTTTTTTTAACTGAATATTGAATCCAGGGCCTCACTAGGCAAGGGACCACTGACTTTCTAAATGGAAAAACTTAAATTTCTATAAGGCATAATACATGAAACTAAATCCTACATAATTTAAATTATCACTAAATGATTATAATCATTTTAGCAAATGCCCAAAGCATATTTTTCACATTTGAGAAAATCATAGAATATTTTTATGATTTCAAGTTACATATTTATTAAGCAAGATAGAAAAAGTACAAACTTTAAATCAACATATTGATGAATGTGACTACCATAAAGGAAAAACATTAAAAAACATACCAAGTATAGCAGGACATGGTGGCTCATGCCTATAATCCCAGCTACTTGGGAGGCAGAGATCAGGAGAATTATATTTCGAGGTCACTGCAGGCAAAATGTTCAGGAGGCCTCATGTCTACCAATAAAAAAATCTGGGCATGGTAGTCCACACCAGTCATCCCAGCTATGTAGGAAGCATAAATAAGAGAATCACAGTCCAGGACGGTCTGGGCATAAATGGTGAGACCCTATTCAAAAACTAACTAAAACAAAAAGATTGGAGGTGTGCCTCAAGTGATAGAATACTTGCAAAACTACCAAAGTAAAAATCAAATAAAATCAAAGACTACGGAAATGTGTGATGTTATATGATATATCAAGTAGTACTTATATGACTGAAAATCAAAATGAAAAAGACAAAAATCCAACAGAGTACATTAAAAATCATTATTTTGTATGGCTGATGCTGGCATATGGGTGTCTTTGAACTTTCTTATCTTGTTAGATACATTTGCTTTTAAAATTCACACAAGCTGGGGGTCAGTTGTTTATGCCTGTAATCCTAGCTACTCAGAAGGCAGAGATCAGGAGATTGCAGTTCAAGGCCAGCCGGGGCAACAAAAGCAAAATCTTATCTCAAAAATACCTAACACAAAAAAGAGCTAGTGGAATGAGTCAAGTGGGACAGCACCTGTTTAACAAGCATCAGGCCCTGAATTCAAACCCCAGTTCTACCAGGATACTCCTGCAGCTAGAATTGCCAGTCTGCCTCAGTGTCACATGGCTTGCCTTGCGATTATATCTTTGGCTTCCTCTCTCTCTCCTGGTGAGCCATGGATTGGTCTTGAAACTATTTACAGTTTTTCTCTGTTGCTTCTATTCTGTGCCTTCCTGCCACCAATTCCATGATTCCTGATGTTCTTCCTTTCTCTTGTCAGAATATAATCTCTCTTTTGGTAGCTGACTCTTCTCATTCACGGAGTCAAGAGGGAAGAGGGCACATCTAATTCCCCATCTTGCACCACTTCTCTGTTCCATGTTTTGATCCCAACCTCTTTATTGCAGTCATCTCACAATTCCAAAGAAACACCTGTTCCAATGTCATGCTATCCTGTTCTGGATCCAAAGCAAAAGAGGGAAGTATTCCCTATTTCACAAATATAAAAACTTTTACTTTTATACTTTATATACAGTAATAAATGTATAAACAATGTGATTCAAAAATGCATACTCAGAAATACTTCAATCATCTATTAAATGAGATGTCTGAAAAATTTAAAGAGAAAGGAGAAAAAAGAGGGAGGAGGAAAATAGAAGAGACATCCTAATTTACCATATAAACAAGAATACGAAGATGATACACATCAATGGTGAAGAACATGAACACCAAGGAGTTGGAATATTCTAAATCAGGGGTTGATGATAGGAGGCTATCTGTTCCACTGAGTACTGAATATACCCTTTAGTGAAGAGCTGGCGAGTAGGTCAGATTCTAGAGTTGGAAGGATTGCACAATGAATAAGGCTTCGAGTGAAGGGTGCTATAATAATGGAGAGCTAGAGGTGGATAAAATATAAGAAGCAGCAGGCTCCTAGGAGAATGAAAACCAAGAACAACCCTAGGATTTTGATTTATTTTTATATTTGCATTCCATTTGTAGACCTGTTTTCAGTGCATTAGTTATAAGGGCATTTCATTGCCTGAGATACATTTGGAATAAAATTAAGAGATAGAATGTCTGCCTCAGTTGGGAGGAATTGGAAGTGTGTGAGCACTACACAAATTCTGATCAGAGCTCTATTCCCATACTTTTCACCTAACGGTCTTGTGAGCTTGAGAATCTTGCAAGTTTATCATGTGTAAGTGAATTCGTTAAGCCCTGTCATGTAGGAATGCATGAACTACATATAGAGTACAGGGCAAAGTGACAGGAAAACATGGCTCAATATCTAAAGAATGGTAGTCATTAATATTATTTTGGTCCTAGATGAAAACACTCACCACCCTAGAAACTGCTTTTGAAATCCAGGAAATGTCAGAGAATATGGGGTACTGTCATACACAGGACACTGAAACTTCCTGCTCATAAATAAAACTGTAAATTTCCCCATCAAAGTACTGGTTGCAGCTCAAGCTCCTAGAATTTTTGTCAAGGCATAAGTCCTTCCATCAATCCCAGGTGCCTTCCATCCAAACCATCTCTATTTACATTCATTGTAGCCTTAACAAAATCTAGGCCTCACTTAAAGATTGCCAAATTATACTCAAGATAAATGCCCTATTAATGCAATGGTAGCTAGCTCTCCCAGATCAAGGGCGAAAGTGCCAATGAAGTGGCTTTTTCATATCTCATCTTAAAGGACTTTTACCTTTATTTCTCAGAAACTTCTTGTAGAAAATGCGCATACAGTTCCTGGTTTGCAAAGTGTGCTCACCAGCACTGGGAACAGAAATGAGGGCACCCTCCTTTCCTGCACAGGTGGAGATTTATAGCTCTGTTTACCCACAATCCGAAAGAAACTTATAAGAGCAATTTTCAATTATGGACCTAATGCTTATGACTACCCCAGCCAAGTCATATGCTGAAGCCCTAGTCCCCCATTGGATGGTATTTGAATGTGGAACTCAGGGGAAGTAATTAGGTTTAGATAATATTATGAGAGTTGACCCCCATGTTGTGATTAGTCCCTGTAACAAAAGAGACCAGAATTGTTGTTTATTTTCCTTCTCTTTCTCCTTCTCCTCCCCCATACCCTCCCTTTCCCATTCCCTGTCCTTCTTCCTCTCCTTCCTCTTCCTCGTACTGCTCCATTTGAGGGTACAATAAAAATGAGACTGTCTGCAATACAGGAAGTTTACCCTTATCAGTAACAAAATTTGTTGGCACCTTGATCTTGAACTCCCCAGCTCCTGTGAGAATTAAATGTCTGTTATGTTTAAATGTGTCTATGCCCCCATCCCACTGCCTCTGACCACCACCAGATCCCTACAACCTCCATCCTGTTTATGATATCTTTTAGGTAACCAAAACAGGCTTACTCATCCCATGCCCCTACCCACCACTGTATCCCCTCCCCAAATCCTTCTGTCTATGGTAGTTTTTGGATAGCCAACAACAGATTTACAGGATTTTGTCTCTCAAGTCTGAGGTAACATTCTGAGGGCATTGCATTTGTTCACCACTTCCACAACTTCAATTAGCCCACCACCTGTATTAAATGAAAATTCCATCCCACTAGAGACTTGCAGTTTCCCAAAGTCCCAAACTGCTTTGCTCAGGAAATTTCATTTGATTATTCTCACAAAAAGCTCCCTGATCCTCACTCATTCTGTTTACTTTACCTGTAAGTCATTGAGAATACTTCAACATCTTACTTGTATAATTGCACTTCAAAGGTCAAAAATTCTATAAGCTGAGACTGATCTTTAGCATCCCAGAACTACTCTAGGGTCTTCCAAAGAGCATATGCTCAAGGAATGTTTGGTGAAAAACAGTCAATAAACACAGTCTCGTTTATGAAGATTTAATTTCTTCTATTTTTTGGAATAAGCCAAGGAAATAGTTTAAAATGTTTAATTATATCAAACAATAGACTAAAAGAACCTAGAGAAAGCAAGTATTGATCATGTTTTAACTTTTTTCTGAACTGTGTTATCCCACTTTCATATTTTGAAGAAAATCCTTATTGTGATGTTATAATTTATTCTCTGAATGACTGCAAAGATTCAAACTTCAACCTGGGTAGGATCTGGTGCTGGACATATGGCCAAAGAACTTGCACTAATTTTGGCAGTGGTGCCAGACTTGGCTGCCTCTAAGATTTGGGCTCTTTCTTTCTCATCTTTCAAAGCCTCTTCATAAAAGGACGAGAAGTAACTAGGGGCAGTTTTATTTACTCTCACCAAAAACTCCAGGACTTTCATCTTGCTGGTTTCAGCATGGGCCTGGGGACCCCACAGGAATTCATAGCGTGGAGGATCACTGCCACGCACCTGCCGGTATTCCAGGTACTTCAGCCTCACCAAATCTTGAGTGATGAGCTTCCTGGGCTCTCCATAGATGTAGTGCTTCTTGCCAGGATAAACTCGCATCAACTTTAGGTATTTCCAGATGTCTTCTTCAGAGGCACAGTTGCCCTTCATAAAGATCATTCCCAGGACATTCATCAGGAGACCAGTCTTGGGTAACCCCCTGCCTGCACGAATCCTCCCGTTGTTAGGGAGTTTCATCTTGCTGACAAGCTTATATGAGTGACGGCTTGAGTCAACTTCTCTCACTTCAACTGCAAAGAGAGCTGCGAGGTGCTCAGAGGCTCTTCTGAAGATCTCAGCAAACTCATTTTTATATTTCTTGCTGATAACCTTCAGCATATCTTCCTTGGTAGTGAGCTGCTTTATATTATACTTATAGAGTAGAAACTGCTCCAGCAACGTAACCTTTTTGGCTACAAGATCTAGGTATGAAATATCAGTGGAGGGGGTTGCCTCAGAAGTGCTTTTTTTTCTCCACGTTGGAGTTTGAAACAATTAGCATGCCTAGTGCCAGACATAGCCATAGCTGCAGTAGGAACTGCAAAAACAGCCTCCTCAGTAGGAGCAGTAGATGGTGATTCAGGAACAGTGGTCTCAGCAGGGACAGTAGATGGTATTTCAGGAACAGTGACTTCAGCAGGGGCAATAGATGGTGCTTCAGGAACAGTGGCCTCAGCAGGGGCAACAGATGGTGCTGCAGGAATAGGTACATCAGTAGGAGTAGATGGTGGTGCAGAAATAGCTGCAGCAGTAGCTATGGCACATTGTGCTTTCTGATGCCTTTGGGCAGTGCTGCGTGACTCAGGTATACTCTTGGAGAATGGAGTGGACTCTTCTGCTACCACTGCTGTTTCCTTAGCGCCCCCACAGTCCTGAGCATCACCTTGGGCCCGACGACGCTTTTCACGGGCCTGGAGCTTCTTCTTCTGACCTCGTGGCATGGTGACTCTGGTTAAGGACAACAGAAATGAGTGTAGGCAGGATAGCTGGTGACACCCACACCTGGAGGAATGAGAATGAGATAGTGTAAGCATTTTCAGCAGGGATACCTTCTTGTCTTTAACCAAGGCCACCTGTGCAGGTTCCTGTGAGAGCACTGCTCTAGGAACTCACAGGGCTCCTGTTGTATTTAGTTTATCCCCTGTGCAGGAGGCAGAGTAAGACTTAGGGTATAGCCTGCTTTTCCTCCCTGAGCTAGACTGGCATGGTGGTGGGGGTTGGTAGTAAAGTCCCTCTGTTTTGAGTTATGGGGATCTTCAAAGTTCAGAGTTGGAATCATGTCAACTTGTTGATAAGTCCTGTCCCTCTCTCTTTGGCTGTTCTGAAGTTGAAACCTCAAACAAAAAAGCCAACATGTCCCGGAGACCCTAGAGGAGGAAATGAAGGAAAATTTCAGCCTATCATCCCTGTCAAGGGTACCCAACTGATAGATACGTGGAGTCTTCTTTGTCATGGGCTACTTGGGCATGCAGTTCTCATTTGGGGAGCTTATCTCATCTGCAGGTATACCTACTAAACCTCCCTTTTACTGACTGGTAGATGCAGACAGACAGCAAAGATCTCAGATTTCTTAGATTTGACATAAAGAAGCGTGTGTGTGGAGGGGCTCAGCCTGACAGTCCTGCCTTGAACTTTCAAGGTTGAAGGAATAGGTTGGACTTGATTCTTTGTTATCTTTTCAATGGGGAGTGGTCCACTCAAAATTTTCCTGGATCTTCGAATGCTTCCTTTACCTAGAATTCCTTTCTTCCTGCTGGTTATCTCCTCAAACCCACTAGTAGGAGATGATGGCCACCTCACCTTCTCCTGCATCCCATGGCTGGGAATAAGGGATGAATTCTGTGACACCCTCTTATAGATGTCCTGTGCGGACAATGGCCCTCACCTTAACTCCTGGAGAATACATAAAAATCCTTGAACTGTGGACTTAAGCCATCCTGTTCAGACAACAGTCCTCACCACTATTACCACCACCACCACCCCATGCCACTGGAGGAAATGAGTGGAAGTCACATCATTAGTGCACAACCATCCCAGGCTGCCAGTAAGGTGGAGGATTCTTCAGATCTCCCATGAGGTCCTTAATTTGACTCCTGGCCATACCAGGGTAGCTTCTCTATGCTGATTTAAGGTCATTCCACTCAGAATGCGGTCTTCATATCCTAGAGCCCCTCCTTGCAGAAGTTAGCCAGGTAGCTCTGCTTGGGGCCTTCCAAGATTAATGGCAGGGGGCTGGCTGTGTGTCACCTACTGTGCTTCTGACAGAGCACTGTAGTCCTCCTTTTGCTAACCTGAGCCTCCTATACCTCCCATCAAGCCAAAGCCCTCAGCTCCCCTATACATTCAAATAGGAAAGGACATGTTTGGGTGTTCTGGGAGGTAAGAATAGGGTATTGGTGGGTATCTCTACAGCTTTACTGAACCCTGCTGAATTGGGGCCTCTTACTTTTATTGACCCTCAACTTCCTGAGATTCTATAGCCTGTCTGAACTCCTAGAGGCTTCTCCTGACAGAAAACAAAGGAACAACTTTGTGTGGGAGGGGCTGGAGAGCGCACTTCTGCAGTGAATGTTTCTCTCAGTCTCATTCCAGCTCCTCACCTTAACTTCTGACAGAAAATGGGACTCCTCTCTTGGCTTAGCCCGGCCGGCAGCCAAGATCCTCACGGTCCTGAAAACCCCCAGAAGTTTCCAGTGCTATCACCAAAGAAAGGGGTCTAAGCAGAGGCAGACCACAAGGGGCAGTATCTCTGGTGCCCCCTCTGTTCTGGGGTATGTGGGCTCTTAGTCGCATAGAACATTCTAGAATTGACTCCTCCTAGAGCTGTAGGCTCCTCCCTCTGCCGCTCCTCCCTCTGCCACTCCCCCTTTACAACAAGGTCCTTACATTTCTGAGATACTCCTTGTAGAAGTCAGCTTGACAGCTGGAGCTCTGACTCAAGTGGTAGAGCACTTGCATCGCAACTGCAAGGCACTGAGTTCAAACTGCAGTACAAGAAAAAAAAACAAGAAGAATTTGCCCGATTGTTTTCCTTCTAGATCTATGAGTAAATTAAGGGAAATCTCAGCATGAACCCCCAATATGATTGGGTATTCTCAGTATTTATCCAGGTCTTCAATTATAGCTCCCATCTCCTAAATGAAAGCCTTTCTGACAAATGCCACATCCCTGAAAACTGTTGAGTACTTTAAATTTTCTACTAGTGTGTCCAGAGTGATGTGAGATGAGGTAGCTGAAGAAAAAAAGCAGAGGACTTAGAAGAGGAAGTGACTGTCAGAGAAAATGCATACTCATATATTCCTTCTTTAAAGCACACAGACTATTATTTTTGTTACTTTTCATTTGAAAGATTTAACTACTAGCGTAAAGGGGCTGATCTACATGATTTTGTGGGATAGTTATCTTTTTTAAGTTAATTGACTGCACATGTAGACATTTATTTTGCTATTCAAACCCCTTTTTATTATTATATCTCTTGGCTTTATAATACTAAATATAATACTATATAGCTAGCCCACAGAAAGATTTTGTGCCCAAAGTACCAGATTAAACTTTGGGCACAAAATATTTGTTTTCTTAATCATCCAAGATAAATTTTGGAGTAGTGAGGAGAAAAGTGAATAAGGAACCATTAAGTTTCTCTGTGGAAGTAGTGGAATAGAATGGGCCCTACATGAATTCAAATCAGGGATCTGTTTCAATTCTATTACTTACTACCTAAGAAAATGAGAATAACAATTTTTAATCAGTCAATTGATATTGGTAAGCCTCATTATGGACTGAATTGTTTCTGTTTGTCCAAAATTCAGATGTTGAAAGCTTAACCTCAATGCAGAGTATTAGAAAATAGGGCCTTTGGAAGATAACTAGGTCTAGAAATCATGAGGGTGGGACTTCATGATGGAAAAGAGGCCCTCATGGGAAGACACAGGAAAGCTTGACCTCTCTCTCCCTCCTCCATTTGAAGATACAACAAGAATTCACTGGTCTGGAACAAAGACTCCACTAGGAACCCAATCTCCCAGCTTCTTGATCTTGGATTTTCCATCCTCCAAAACATCAAGAAGTAAATGTTTGTCATTTAGGGCAGTCTATGCTATTCTATTATAGAAGCCTGAACTAAGTCAAACCAATGTTATAGAATCATTGGAATATACACAGTATATAGAAAGTACCTGTCATGATGACTGACAAATATTCAGTGTTTAGTGAATGGTAATTATAAATTTATTTTTCAAATCCAAGACATGTTACAGAAGATTAATGTTCTCAAATGACACCGAAAGAGTAAAAAAATGGCTTTAGTAATTAAAATCAGATTTTCCACATCACAGAGTATGTTATTTAACTTGGATACAGGGGCTTCTTCTCCACCTGGATGTAACTCAAAGCTCCTAGAATTTTGTTAAGGACCAACTCTTTCGGTGCCTCAGACTTCCATCCAAACTACCTCTATTTTTATTCACTACTTCCTCCCCAAATCAAGTCTTTCATTACAGTTTGTCAAATTACACTCCAGATAGCCTAAATAGAATGTCCTACCGATGCAGTTCCATATAGTTCTTTTGGTTTGAGGAAAAACATGACAACATACACAGTGGCTTCTGTGCATCTCACCTCAAGGGATTATCACCCTTATTTTTCAGAAATTCCAGGACACAATGTGTATAGAACAACTAGTTCATGCACTGTGTTCTAATGCATTAAGATAAGGGCAAAGATACCTTCTATTATTGTCTGCTATGGCTGAATTGTACACTTTCTCCCCCAAAATTCATACATCAAAGTTCTTATCCTTAGTAACTAACAATGTGACTGTATTTGGAGATAACATCTTTAGAAGGGTGATTAAGTTAAAATGAAGCTACTAGTGTGAGCCTAGTATAATCTGACTGGAGTGCCCTTACATGAAAACATTAGCACACACATAAAGAGATCACCATGTAAAGAGGCAGTTAGAATCTGGCCTTTTGCAAGCCAAGAAGAGAGTCCTCAGGGAAAACTAATTCTGGTGGCACCTTGTTAGACTTCTAGCCTCCAGAACTGTGAAAAAAATGAATTTCTGCTTTTTTGAGCCACTCTGTCTACCCCGTGCCACACACATCCACACAGGAATTGTGCTCAGAAACAGAGTTAATAAGCAGGGTGTGTGAAAGGCAGGGTATATAAGTCAAAGGAAGATGACCTCTAGTGTCCTTGAGAAGATATGATTTGCATGCTTGAATAATTCTGAAGACTGGTAGAGAGTGAAAGTCTGGTACTTAGGAATAAGCAAGACCTATGCCTGGTACCATTGACAAAGATGGTCATTTGGTCAGGGCATCTTGTCTGGAAGTAGAATACTTAGAGGGGAACTTGTAGCTGGGCCATCACAGAACCTACTGGTGTCTCATCATCTGAGAATCTACCCCTGGTCACTCAGCTGACATGCTCATATAGCCAACCATGTAGCTTAATTTAAAAGTCACATCATACTGATTGACTTGAAGTTTACCAAAATTCAAATTGCCTTTCTTCAGATAGTTTATCCTCCAGCTCACCCATTCTTTCTAAGTTCCTATACATCACAGAGGGTATCTTAACATTTTCCTCATATGATTGTAGCTCCAAGCTTCTAAAATTCTATAGGCAGAAACTATATCTTTAGTTGAGCATCCCCAGTACTAGCACAGATTCATCCAAAGAGAAGCTCAATTGATGTTTTGGAATGAGGGACCATGAGCAAGAAGTCTAACTTATTATAAATTCCCCTACATTTTTTAGCAGTCCTGGGGTCTGAACTCAGGGCATCCCATTTGCTAGACAGGCACTCTACCATTTGAACCATGCTTCTAGCCCTTTTTGGCTCCAGTTACTTTGGAGATAAAGGCTCACTTTTGCCCAGGCTGGCTGGACCACAATCCTCCTATTTTATGGTTCATGCTGTTACTGGGATGACAGGGGTATACCATCATATACAGCTTATTTCCTTTGAGACAAGGTCTGGCAAACTATTTTAGCCCCAGGTGACCTGGAATCACTGTCTTCCTAATCTCAATATCCCACATTGCTTGGAATGACAGGCACAGGCCACTATGCCTAGCTATTCATTGAGATGAGGTCTTGCTAACTTTTTTCCCAGGCTGGCCTCAAACGAAGATCTTTCTGACCTCACCTTCTCAAGTAGCTAAAATTAAAGTCATCAACTACTGGTGCCAGGCTTCCTCTACATTTTATAATAATATAAGCATATCAAGGTATAAGTCATTTAACTATATGAAACAAAAAGACTAAGAGAAATGAGGAAAACCAATAGTGATTGCTTTTCATTTTTATTTTTTTAACTGTTTCATTATGGCAACTATTTTGTTATTGGCTTGTTTCATATTTCCAAGAAAACCCCCATGGTCATGTCATATATTCTCATATGGAGAAAAAACCTCAACAGTACTGGGAAAAGCTGCTGGACATGGCTGTGGAACACGTCTGGTCATGGCAGTAGTGCCAAGATTGGCTATAATTCGTGCTTGGCTCTCTCTTCTTCATCTCTCAAAGCTTCTTCATATTGTGCTGAGAACACACTAGGATCAGTATCACTGACTTTGGCCAAAAATTCTAAGACTTTCATTTTACTGGTTTCAGCGTGGGCTTGGGGACCCCACAGGAGTTCATAGCGTGGAGGATCACTGCTATGCACCTGCCGGTACTCCAGGTACTTCAGCCTCACCAAATCTTGGGTGATGAGTTTCCTGGGTTCTCCATAGATGTAGTGTTTTTTGCCAGGATAAACTCGCATCATCTTCAGGTATTTCCAGATGTCTTCCTCAGAGGCGCAGTTTCCCATCATGAAGATCACACCCAGGAGGGTCATCAGGAAACCTGTCTTGGTTTCCTCTGCTAGCACGAATCCTCCCCTTGTTGGGTAGTTTCAGCTTGCTCACAAGGTCATATAAGTGTCTGGATGAGTCTACTTCCTTCACAATAACTGCAAAGACAGTCTTGATGCGATCAGAAGCTCTTTTGAGAATCTCAGCAAACTGGTCATGGAACTTTCGGTCAATAATCCTCAAAATGTCTACCTTCAAAATGGGCTGCTTCATTTTATATTTGTAGAGAAGGAACTGCTTCAACAAACCCACCTTTGTAGCTAGAGAATCACTGCGGGAGTTCTCCATCGAAGGTGGAGCCTCTGAGGAAGCTGGGTGCTCCTCTTCTTGGCTGTTCTCACTGTCATCAGCTCTTGTGCTAAGAAAATCTTCAGAAGTAGTGCTGGGGCATGGTACAGTACAAGCTCCTGCAGAATGGTACTTGATACAGGAGCAGATGAAATCTGAGGAATATCCTGAAGAACAAGAGAGGAATAGAAGGGAGGCTTTTCTTCCATTGCTGCACTGGCCTGTGCTCCCCTGTGATACTGGGAGTCATTTAGGGCCTGGTGGTATTTGTCACGGAAATGAAATTTACTCTTCTGGCCCCGAGGCATGATGGCTGCAGTCAGGCACAGCAGGCAGAATTATGTGTAAGAGAACAAGTGATGTGAGCCCACTGAAAGAGGGGGGTTGAGGGCATGTGTATCTTCAGCATGAAATCCCACTATGGCTATAAGGAAGGCTACATTTGCAGTTTTCTAGGAGGGCTTGTGCTAGAAGTCCACTGACCTTCTGCTTTCCTAATCACCTTATTCTTTTTGAAGCCTAGGGAGGAAGTTAGAGCAAGTCTTAGCCTGCATACTGTCAGCATTGCCTCACACAATAAGTGGTGGCAGATCATGGAAGCCATTCTCTTTGCTTTTCTCACATTGACATCACAAACCTCACTGGGACCCATGAAATGGGAAGGAAAAGGGCTCATCAGCTTGTCACTCCCATTCAGATGCCCTTAGTTGTGGTGACTGAGTGAGGAATTTTCTGTTCTGGAATCTTTGTTGTCTTTAGAACACATTCTGCATCCCTACATTGGCTCATGGGTCTTGGGTACCCACCCACTTCACTTGAACCACAGCTGCACATTCAGATTAAGGATGCTTCCTCTAGCAGACCTGACATAAAAATGTCTTGGGAGTTCAGGTAGACAACCATATCCAGGGTCTTAAAGAGCTGAAACCAGTGAAGGGTCAGATTTTTGTTACCCATTTTATGTAGTTAGTGGTAGATGGTCCCCACAACACTTGTTTTGATGCCTGTCATGTCCTAGAACTCCTTACTTTATGGCACTGAGGCCTATATACTCATAGTTAGAACAAAACTGTACTGAGACCTCCCAGGGGAATCAGAGGGTCTTCTTTGACTATACCTGTCCCTGGTCTCCCAAGGCTGAGAGGAAACAATGGGTACCATGGTTTTCCCACTGTTATGGTATGTATATTTTCCTTACCCCTCAAGATACTCACCATGTCCTCTGGGTAAACCTGGAAATCTTCCTACTGCTGATCTTAGACCATAATAACCCTTAGATCAACTCCCTCAGCCCCTGGTGACACCATAGAAGTGAGTAATGTACATCAGGTCAACAATGCCCAGGTATCCCAGGGCTGCCATCAAGGGTGGAGTTTTGTGTGGTTGTCTCAGTTCTTAGTGTGGAGGTTTGTGTAACTCCTTATTCAAGCCCCACATGTAACACCTGACAAGGACTATGACCCTGTCCTCTGCTTTTCAAGAGCCCTTCTCTCTGAACAAAGCCTTCATATCCCTGTAGTGTTTCTTTAGAAGTCAAACTGGCAGCCCAAGTGATCCTAAAGATGCTAGGGCAGGCTCTGTGCCACCTCAGTCTTCTGAATCTGTGATGCACACACTCTGATTCCTGGCAAGGCATAGGACACTTCCTTCTGAGGTCTCAAGCCTCAGATCAAGGTTCTTATTCCCTGAGGTTCCAGAAAGAAAACTCAGGGAATGTCACATGAGGTTGGCTACCCCTGTCAGTGCCCTCCCAGGAATGACATCAAGATTCAGACACTTGGGAGCACTCTCAAGGGCAGAGGTATGCCCTCAGTCTTCACTCAGGATTGTTACCCTGATTCCAGCAGGCCCTGGGTTTCCTCTTTTTTAAATTAGTATTTATTTTTAACTGATAAATATAACCAGGTACTGTCATGGACCAATCTTGTGGATTTGAGAAAAGTGCATGTTCTTTGTCTGCAAAGATATTGTGATAAAACTTAAAAACTTATCATGTAGTATTTAGGTATGCAATTGATGTACATTACTTGGCAAAGATTGGGTCTTGAATTGCAGTTGTTACTAAGATTAGTTTGACCCACTTTAGAAGCAATCTTCCTTTACAGAATTTTGTTTTCAAAATATATTAGCGATCATGCAAGTCCAATGACATAGGTCAAGCAAAATGCTGCTGAACAAGTAAAACTAAGTAGTGTTTCCTTATTAGAGCATATTATTTAATTAGGGTATGGGTTGATCTTCTCAAGTTGTAGGCAGCTCAAAACTCCTGATTTATTCCAAGGCCAATAACCACTCTTCTATGTCCCTTTTCATCCAAATTGCCATTTTTATGCCTTTCACCACCAGCCAAAATCTAGCCCTGCCTTGGTTTTGGCAAATTACATTCTAAGTGTCTTTTAATGAAACCAAGTAAGTCTCTACTGGCCCATAATAAGAATGACAGGTCAGTGGCTTTTTGGTATCTAATTTCAAGCGAGTATTACATTTATTTCTCAAAAACTCTCTGAACATCATGTTTATGTCTTATTCAGAATATTCACCTTCAACGGGGCAAGTTCACAGACTTCTTGCATGTTTGCCCCAGGTGAGGGGCAAGAGGGGGTTGAGGGTGAGAGATGGTAGGGGCTACCTAACCAATGTATAATGTAAACCTATTCAGAAATGTCAAAATGAATCCCACCTGTACAACAAATATATTCTAATAAAAAAAGAAAAAAAAAATTGTCTCTAAGGGCTGGTGGAATGACTCAAGTGGAAGAATGCCTACCTAGCAAGCATGAGGCCCTGAATTCAAACCCCAGTACTGTCAAAAAGAAAAAAAAAAGATTTGTTTTCTGTTCCAGGATTAGACTCTCAACTCTGAAATGCACCAACTGAAAATATGGCTTTTGTTCACCACTCCGATAGCCTCACCCAGTCCACCATGTAGCTTCACTTAAATTACACCACACTGACAGAACTACAATTTCCCAATGCCCCAAATTACTTTGATCAAATAATTTACACTTGACTTAATCTGAAATCTTTTTCCTCATCCTTTCTTTATTCTTGCCCTTTCTGCCTTAGATAGTACTTGACTATTTGGCTTAAATAATAGCTGCTGATAGCCACTAAAATCTGAGCTGTGTCTGTCTGGATCTTCTTTGTCTTACCATAGCCAATACTACTCTCAACTACATAAAAGATTGACTGCTCTTCAAACACAAAGTGAAAACTACCTCAGTCCCAACTAGATATGGTAGTACAGATGGGACACAGCCTCGGAAGGAACCCTGGTGAGGACAATAATACTGGTGCAGGTTGCAGCTCTCACTCTTCATCTCCAAAGAGCAGATGCTCTTGGAGTAATAAAATAAGTAAGACATTAAATTTACTAGCATTTAATTTCTCACACAGTTTGATAAAGTAATGAAATTCAACTTTATTTCCTTTAATATTACAAGCAAGAGGTAAAAAGAACACAGACAGCCATGAATTAACCAATTTACTCTTGTTTCAAAATTCTGTGATATCAGCTATTTTCCAGTAGGTTTCATTTGCAAGTTCACGAAAATCCTGTTTCCAATGCCATGTTATTTTATATTGTAGTAAAACCATAACATTGAAGTTTTTTCAATGTGTTTAAGAATAACAAAATTTTAACTTAACAACAGCAATAAACATGTCATGCATAACGTTAAGGAACACAGACTGTGAAACAAATGAAATTTTCAAATGAAGGAACACTAACAAGATAATAAATGAAATGGTACTTAGAAGTTATTCATATATAACAGGAAAAGAAGACATACATTTTGTTTTCTGGAGCCCATACTAGTCTCCACTACTTGGAAACATGTCTGCTTTTCAAGCACAGAGTAAAATCTTTACAACAGGTTGAACTATATTTGGGAGGCCCTGCAGGACATGGCCTTGCAAGGAACCCTGGCCCTGGCAACAGTGTGGACCCCAGCTGCAGCCCTCCCTCCTGCTCTTGCTTCCTGATCTCTCAAAGCATCATCATACAGAACAGGGAAGGCCCTGGGGACTGTATCGTTGATTTTAGCCAAAATTTCCAGGACTTTCATTTTGCTAGTTTCAGCTAGGGCTCTGGAACCCCATAGAAATTCATAGCTGGGAGGATCACTGCCAGGTATCTGGCGGTACTCTAGGTATTTTTCCTGCACCAAATCTTTGGTGATTAGCTTTTGAGGCTCCCCAAAGATTAAGTGCCTCTGCCCAGCATATATCCCCAAGGCATTAAGGAAATCCCACATCTCTTCCTCAGTGGCACGGTTGCCACTCATGAAGATCACACCCAGGAGTGTCATGATGATACCGGTCTTGGGCAAGCCCCTACTACCCTCAATGGAGAGGCCCAGCTTGCTGACAAGGGTATAAGTGCTAGGGTTGACTTCCTGCACCTCAATGCCAAAGACCAGCTCCATGCGCTCACAGGATTTCCTGAAGAGGTCAGGGAAGTGCTGCTTGTACTTCCTGCTGACCACCTTCAGCATATCTGCCTGCTTAACAGGCTCCTTCATTT